TCTGTAGCTAAGTGGTGTGATATGTTTCGAGTGTTTTGTTCTGGATGTGGTATTAGGTGAGAAAAGTCAGTAATAATGTGTTTCTTGCCAGAGTGAAACACTAGGTATTTTGTTGTAGTGCAGTTACCAGTAAGCTGATTCTTGGCAAACTATCCCGGCGAAAATCTTCAGTCGGGGAATAATATACATAACGGTGTTGTGGTTTCCAGTAACCCTGTAAGTATTGCTGTTTCTGTGTAAAATAGTTGCTCTCTTAACATTGCTAGAGTTTGGAGCGAATATTTTGTCTTTCGAATACTTAACCTTTATTATATATATATATATATATATATATATATATATATATATATATATATATATATATATATATATATATATATATATATATATATATATATATATATATATATATATATATATATATATATATACAAGTATGCGAAATAGTTTCCTATTCGACTAAGGCTGAAAGCGTCAATATTCTATGCAATTCTTTAGCATTAAAGAAAACTAAGATATTGATTTAGAGCATAGAACATATTCTCGGGCTTTTGTAACAAAATTATTATCATAGTATTTTGTCAAATCATAAAAAAATAAACCTAAAGGGAAAAAGACGTTAAGAGCAGAGACGCCAGTTAATACATGCGTCAGTATCCTCTGCTTTTTTTTTTCGGCACTATTGCACTTATATTGCTTTATTATCAAGTCGGGCGCGGTATAAACTTGCCCAAAAATACAGATCTCATTCCACATGCATATTTATATTGCTCGAGTGCTCTATAAAAACTGATGGAACGTATTTCCATGTGACCACAAGCTTATGCAAATCACCCATGCGTCCTTCATCTCTTCCACCTAAAGCTCCGGATAAAGCATAACGAGATAGCCTGCACTGGCTATAGACACAAAAGACGGCCAAGCTCTACCAGTTTAAGGCACATTTAGTGATTGGGAAACAATGCAACAGCTGCTCTCAAATTGGCGCGTCTCATTAACGTGTGAAGATGTAAGTGTCACACATGCGAAATGAGGCTGTTGTAAAAGACGCACAACGGTGACGGCCGGCAGGGCTTATCAAATACGACGCCTTGTAAACTTAATTTCAGCTCATTGCTCACAGTATAAAAGACAGCCGACTGAAGGTGACCGGCAGGCACTCGAGTGACGCAGAGCAGTGCGAGCAGTTGCAGGGTGAGTACTTGTGACTTGCACAAAGCGTTCAACAGAATTAGTTCAGATAACGTGAACTTGCGTCTCATGTTAACAAAAATGGTTGTGTTTTATTTCCTAGCATTTTTTCTTAAAGCCTTGACCAAAGCACTTTCTACTGGAACTGCAGCGCACGTTTGCATTAAATTTATTGGGAGCTTCACATTTGCGCAGCCTTGAGAGTGCGGGTAGTTCAAGTGGTAGAGCTTCGGGTGCATTTTCCAAATGTCGTGGACGGAGGAATTGTTTATCAAACTTAATTCTGTTTCTTTTAAGTCATAAATACTATACTAGAGCTAAAATGTACAAGTAATGCCCCCTGAAGCTGCCTTAGCATCGTTGTGCGTCTATAGACTGTGCATATCAAAGGAAAGGGGCCTTCAATCAATCGCCCGTTTCCGCACAACAAAAATGAGATGTATTTAATAAAAATCACCATAGTTTTATATCTGGTACCTGCACTTTACAAACAAAGCAAAAGTTGGTAGCAAACACGTATTGTTGTGTAGTATAGTATAGAGAGTGTACAAGCGTTGTTAGGAACGCTGTTACTATGCTGGTCAAGCACGACGACTCAGCCGAGGGCTGCCTTTCATACACTCCAGAATTTTCTAACGTTGAGTTCAGCAGTATGGTAGTGTAGCAGATCTGAAGGCTGCGCATAGGACTCATATGCCATGTGACAGGTGGCTTTCCTGAGTTTAGCCTGCCAGAGTATAGCTAAATAATAAAATCGCCTCGTCCTGACCGACGAAAACATGTCATTAGTAATAAACCAAGGGGCATGTTGCTGTCCTCTGCGTTGACATGCATTGGTCTACTGGTTCAATCAGTTTGTTATGAACCTTATTCCATTGAGCTTCAATAGACCACCTTAGCCATGGTGGCTTAGTCGCTAAGGTGCTCGGATAAGTGGCTAAGTTGTGGCGGGTTTGAGCCTAGCCACGCCACGGTCACGTTTCGGTGGTGGAGAAGTGGTAAAGGTGCGTGTACTGTGCGATTTCAGTACACATTAAGCACCAAATGGAGAAATTCTCCCGAGCCGTCTACTAAGGCGTCTGTCGTTGCCATACACTGGTTTATAAAAATAAAATCGTAGGTAATAGTATTACTATTCAACCCACCGTTCATGAAATGTTAAATAGCAGCATAATCGAATTCTCTTCCACCGCGAAGTCTTTGGGCGTTATTTTCCATGAACACATGAAATGGGATTATCACACGGAATTTTTATACAATAAGCTTTGAAAAGTCTTGAGTGTCTTGAGAAAATGTCAGGGTTTTTTGCCAGTTCCCCAAAAACTTCTGATATGTAATGCGCTCTTCACATCACATCTGAGTTACTGCAACCTGATTTGGGGTAATGGAGCAAAGCAATCTAATAATAATCTCATTATCTTAAAAACGGCGCTACGATCTGTTGCTAACCTCCATTTTAATGCCCATACTTCACAATTATTTGGTAAATACCAAATAATCAAATTAAACCTGCTCTACGAATATTCTTCAGCACTCTCTTTTAGATCTGATACCATAAAAGGTCGCGGCCCCAGACATTGAGTTATTGCTTGCAGAATATACTAAATAAATTAGGAATTAATTATGAAAATGTTCGTATGATCTCTAATACTTTTATTTTAAATAAGCTTTATAACTTGTGTGTAGTATTATTTTCTGTTTGATCACTTCTTTCTTTCGATGTATAGCATGTGCGTTTTTTGGTTAGTATAGTTTGTTTAAATTTTTCGTTCTGGTGCAAAGCATATGCATTGCTGGTTTAAACGGTCCTGTGTTTAAGTTTGATTTTGCCGTTTTTGTTGCCACAGTTGCCATGGGGATAGGGGGCTTTGTCAAGCTGTTTTATACAGCTTTTGTCCTCTGTCGCAGCCACTTACTGTACAACTGTACGTGGTAAATAATATAACTCAAACTCAAACTCAAATCTTCTAGGTAGTGCTGGATTGCGGCTAGTGGAATGGCCCACGAACTATCCTCGTTGCAGAGTGGAATAGTTCCACTTCTGTTCACAGTATTAAAATATGGCATGTCTAAGTAAGAAAGCCGTTCATTGCGGCTTTCTGGGAAATTCGTAATGTTCAACACGAAGCCGTACTTAGCGGCGAATAAGAAATGAAGGATAGCTTGAACGTTACTGGATACTGTTATTCCGTCTGTTATCCTCTTAGTCATGGCAAATAAAAACCACAGTTCAGAAATACCTGCCCCAAGACCGAGGACAGCGACAGTTGTAGTAGCGGAGAGTAATACATATTTATAAAATTAAAGTATGCCATATTGGGACACGAGGCAACGATAGGAAGCGTAGGAGTGACATTATTGGCAGTCATCTGACTGGTAACGGCAATGAACGTACAGATTGTAACTCAACTGCCTTCTTTTGCAATTGAATTGATGACACTTTTTGCAAAAGAGTAGGGGTGCGAATTTTCAAATGATAGCTTATCTTCTTCGCAAGCTTACATGGAACATGTGCATAGCCGCTCATTCATTCCTCCGTATTTCTAAATGTGCAAGTAAAATGGATGTTCACTTGAACGTTATCTCCCCGGCCGATTTGTTTTCCAACTGACGCAAGTTTTTGTATCGCACATTTTCAACTGATGTCTCATTCACATCAACATAATACTCGTCATCAGCTTGTTGTAACACGCATTCTTCCGACCTACCTTACTACATCATATGTTTCTCTTTTTTTAACACAAAAGTGTTTTATGCCGAGGCCCACCAAGACTTCAATGACGTATTTCTGTCACGGATATGACGTTTTAAATAGAACTATACCAAACTTGAACGCAAAACATTCAAAAAAATGTTCCCCGCCATACGACTATTTGGGAAACGACGAAAAAGAGATTGAGACAATTGTGGGGCTCTCTACGAACGGGCCTTATATCTTGCACACATTCTCTTTCCCTCCGTGCTCACTGTTGGCAAAACGGGGCGGTGTCGCCGTCTGTGAGTGCTCAAGAGAAATAACGCGGCATGACGCATGCCATCCGAGATTGGGCGCCGGCGCGCTGTGTTGAAAGCCAGGGATAAACCTTCAAGGTAGCAGAGAAAAACACTGACCGAACAAAGTATCGGAGAGTCACCGATGCCGTTTGGCTCTTTGACTTTGGCTTCGCGTTAGTGCGTGATAACTCGTTGTCGAAGTCGTGCAGCTTCCACAAGCACCAATGATGTTTCACCGTCGACTACTTCGAATCCGATAGCACCGAGTTTAATAAAACTGCTTCAGAAAGCACTGCAGCAAGCCAACGATGTCAAAGGCTGAATATCGTGGTTTGGTGGAGTGAAACTGAAGCCTACAAGACGTGGAACGCCGGCGCGCATTTGCAGTTCAAGCTGCTAACCTCCGCGTTCCATGTTACTGAAGCGCTGTATGCGTGATGTGCTGGCATAGGCTTCAGGAGCGCACACCGCGCTTCTTCTCTCCGTAAACGATCTTTGAGGACGCGGATATTGAGTAGCAGTGTTTAGTGTGTGCGTGTTGATGTCATCTTTGTGCGCGCTTAACAATACTTTATGTTCAGTAAAATGTTACAAGCCTTAGTTACCACACTGGTTAAATCATAATCATTGGGTGGTAGTCATCGCTATGGAGACGTGCCACTAAGCATCAACGTGGCTGTGTCCACGTCCAATGGTTCTACAGCTGTGATATGCCAATGGAAATCGTACAAGCTCTCATATATGACAACGCGATAAGTACTACTTATCGCGTAACGGGATCAGCCTTTTTTTTCTTTTCCTTTGTTTCAGGAATTTGGTAGTCCCAATCATGCAAGCAAAAGTGATGGCTCCCGTTTTTGTGGCATTTGTCGTGGCTCTGGCAGCCGTCTCGGTGGTCACTTCTCAGGAACTTGTGGTCTGCCCTGTGGTGGACGACGAGAGTGTCAATGCCACCATACTGCCAAACCTGTACAACTGCTCCACATTCTACATGTGCTCTCAGGTGAAGACCCTCGCGAGCGCAAGCAACACGAGTCACTGAAGGGCGAGAAACTATTAAGGAAAGCCAGAGATAGATAGATAGATAGATAGATAGATAGATAGATGATAGATAGATAGATAGATAGATAGATAGATAGATAGATAGATAGATAGATAGATAGATAGATAGATAGATAGATAGATAGATGAATAGATAGATAGATAGATAGATAGATAGATAGATAGATAGATAGATAGATAGATAGATAGATAGATAGATAGATAGATAGATAGATGATAGATAGATAGATAGATAGATAGATAGATAGATAGATAGATAGATAGATAGATAGATAGATATGTGAAGTATTTTAGAAGGGCCAGAGCAGGGGTAGTAGGTTGTATGTATATAGCTTACGCTTGCGACGCGCTCTTCTGCCGGTGCTTTCCGCATGCCTTTCTTCGCGTTCAAACAGCGTGTCAGAAGTGTGAACTAGTCTAACGATGCATTTATTATTCGAACCATTTTAATAGTAAGGCGAACTTTTTTTTTGTCAGAGTGCGGAACACAAATTACCCCAATCCACCAGCCCAAATACGTGCTAGTTCACTCGCCACAGTTGCAACACAGATCACTCCTTAAGGATCGTTATAATTTTGTAAAGAGTTCTGCTGCAGGTTTCACATTCCTAAGCAGTCAATGCGATAGTTCCCGCAATGCCGGACTTTACGCACTGTTCGAGAATACTCCGCTTTTAGTACGCTGCCTAGTTTGCGCACTACTTTCGTACAGATCTGTGCACTTACTCTGGCTAACAGCATAGGATCGAGAAGTTGAGACACCTATACAGCGCGAGTAAGATGCTTAAGAAACAAAATGTTTTTTTTTACTCTTCCTCATACATTCATTTGAACATCTAAAGAAGAGCAAAAAGTATGATTGGTTCTGGTGGAACCGCGCATCTTTTATACTGGGTGCTTCATGGTATTATCCTCTGCGTATAAACTTCCAAGCCGCAGAAAATTTGACTTGACATCGACATCAGGCACGTTAACATATTAACTAAACTGCCTTGCCGAGCCGTGGTAGTCAGGCGTTTACCGTTTACTTCAATCAAGGCACAAAGTTCCGCTCCCACCTCTGCTAGGCCACCTTCTGTGCGTTGTGAAGTTTGTACCCTGATGGTCTATCACCTTTTGCATTTCTCTTTTTTTCTAATCGACACCCTTATTCATCACCGTATGCGCAAGGCATAAAACCAGACGTAACTGTAGCCAACATAACTTCTCTGCCATTCTTGTTCTGTTGCCTCTCTCTGTTTCTCTCAGGCAATAATCACATGATTTGCCCACACAGGGTGTCTGACAAAAAGTAAGAAAACAGCCTCGAATTTCCTCCTAGCCATTACACAAGACGTTTGCTTCTGAAAGGTTTTCTTTTGAAATTTTTCTATACAATTAGTGTGAACAATGAAATTAATATTTTAGAATTATATTTCTTTATTTTTTCGTCAATAGAGGAAGTGTTTCTTTATGTAGCGCTTTTTTCTATCGCAACACCACAAGCTGTTGGTCTGCTCGGAAGGCTCGAACAATCAAAACGAAAGCTTTGTTTTTTTTTTGAGATAGGCATATTCCTAAGTATAATGAAACGCATCAAGTTAGTTAACTATGGTTGTGACAAGCAACAGTTAGACTTTTTCATCAGCTTTTTTCTACTCGTGCCTTCTGTCTATGATGACATATGAACATATGATAAATCTCCGATTTGAAAATCATTGTAACTGTGGCGTCACATTCCTATAGTATTAAATCGCCTCAGAAGTAGCAACCAATCCATTGGTTTCTTCTATCCAGGGATAATTGTACACTACGCGAAACCGCATTGTCGGCGAGATACAACTATCTGCTCTTCGGGATGCTATCTCTACCATTTTGTTTCTGGAATCACAAACATTTTTCATTTTTCCGCCAAATCAGGGACAACAATACGTATCACGCGCACCATTTGACCAACGTTTAAAGGTGGTCAATCATCATCTCTTTGAGATAGCCATTATTACGGTTATCGCAGGGTGTTCCAGAGCTAATGGAATGCCCCAGTGGCCTGCAATTCAACCGCATCTTGAACGTATGTGACCACCCATGGCGCGCTGCCTGCGTCGCACTCCTTCTACCGGAACCCGTGCTGCCGACTACTGAAGCTCCTTTGGCCACCGAGAAGGTCGTCATCACGAAGACCGTCAAGGAGGTCTACAGGCCTGTCGATGAAGAAGTGCCTCTGCTGTAAACAATAGAGCTGTTGCTGTGAAATGACAAACACAGCCGGTGTGACATGAAGATCAAAATTGAACACGTGACCACGCAATAAAATACCCGTAATGTTATTTTGGGCTTGCAAATGGTGTTGAATGGACGGAATATGGTTTGTGAATTTGAACCCCTAAGTGAAAACGGGAGTGAACTCTGCTTAGACAGTCTTTCTGTGTTACCATTGACGGTAAACACCTGCATTATCACGGTTTGCATAATTACGTCCCTATCTGTAAAACTAGAGCTATGGACTACGTCAAGCCTTGCTGACTTTTTGTCCATGGTCCACAGCATTGTTTTCGCGAATGCGAAATAAATTTGATTCGATATCTTAATGTTGTCCCATGTATTCATGACAGTGAAGAAAATATGCCTAAACCGGTAAAGGGTTAATCTGTTCATGAGGTGAACTTGCGACCAAAAACACAAAATCCACGCATCTACACACAGTGAATCATTTCGAGTAATCGAAGCACTGGGGAATTTCCACTCACGCATGTAAATTGAAGGACAACGTGTGTCCACTGTGTATCGATGACATGATACGCCTGGCAGCCGGTGGGGAAAAGAGCCCGGTTTATTGAACGTTAGCTGGGTATATGCGCTGAATGCGTGCGTATCAGGTACATCTCTACACAGTTCATGCGCATATCTAACGCCACGTGCACGATAGATCTTTCGTCTTTGAGAAAACAAAAACAGAACAAGAAAACATCACACCGCCTCCGCAAGGTTAGTACGTTGTTAGTAAAGTGTTAGTACACTGCTAGTGGCATGCACCAGAAAGCACGCTTCTGGAACTTGTTCAAAGTTTCTGTCATATCTCAAACGATTTGGTGGTCTACGTTGCCTTTGTGATCTTCGGGGTGTTGAAGCGTTCGTCACTGATGCCTCAGTTGATAGCAACTGTTCTTGCGATGATGCACCTCCACTGCTGTTGAGTGGCTCGTCCTCACTGTCGTCCTCACTGTCATCTGAAAAATCACGCACAAAATGTTCTCTGGTTCGCAACAGATCTCTCCTGTTACGTCGTAGGATCCTACCCTCTTCTGCGACCACATTGCAAGATCTAGGTTGTGTGCAGTGCTCCAACACCCGCGCTTTTGTGTCCCACGATTGCTTCTTTAGACGCACATCACTGCGCTTCAGAGCTGGCAGGGGACGCCTCTTGCTGTCTGTCTGACGATGCTTGAAGATGTGGATACATGGATCATCTCCGAAGTCCGGTATGCTTGTTCTCAGTTTCCTGCCCTGGAGAAGCTCCGCCGGTGCCGCGCTGCCTTCCAGGGGTGCTGTCCTGTAGGCAAGCAAACCAAGCCAAAAGTCGTGTTTTGCTTCATCAGTTTTCTTTAAAATTTGTTTCACTACTTGTACCCCCTTTTCTGCTAGACCGTTTGACTGTGGGTAGCCAGGGCTAAGAGTGACATGCTGAAAATCATACTTTCGCGCGAACGCGGCAAAAGACTTGCTCGAAAAAGGTGGCCCATTGTCGGAACACATTTCCGTTGGTATACCATATCTGGCAAAAATGACACTTGTCGCTTGGATAACCGTGACAACCGATGCATCTTTGAGCATTTCTACTTCGGGAAAGTTCGAAAATGCATTGTAGACGTATTGGTACGTTTTTCCGCCGTAGTGAAAAAGGTCTATAACTACTCGGTTCCATGCTTGCTCAGGCATCGGTCGCATCTGCAATGGTTCATGGGGCTGGCTGTAGGCAACTTTCCTCCAAACTGAACACTTTTGTACAAAGTCTTCGATGTCTCGACTCATTCCAGGCCAGAAATCGCTATCACGCGCCCTGGACTTGCACTTCATGATGCCTAAATGTCCTTAGTGAATTTTTTTCTAGTATTTCATGCTTTATGCTAGCAGGAATCACAATCTTGCACCCTTTCAACAACACACCTTGCACGTGTGAGAGCTCTCCGTTAAACACTTTTAGCTGACCATCAATGGGTGTGTTTTTGCTCAGGCTTTCTACAACGTTTGCCAGGTATTTGTCCTTGTCTCATTGGCCAGTCGTTGCTGGGTCCTGTTGCTGATACGGGATGAAAGCACACTCACGGCGTGTACCTCCACATCGTCGTCGGTGAAATTGTTGTTGCACTTGACAGTCGCCCGGGAAAGCATATCGGCCTGCAGGAGGTGTTTCCCTGGAATAAACGTAATTTCCAAGTCGTATCGAAGCAGGCGCAAAAAAAGCGTTGCAGCCTTGGTGGCATGTCTCCGATTGCTTTCTGAGAAATCGCTATCAGTGGGCGGTGGTCTGTTTCCACGATAATCTTACGACTATATGTGAAATGGTTGAATCTTTCGCACCCATACACTTATGCTATGGCTTCCTTTTCGATTTGCGAATGCCTTTGTTGAGATTCGGTGAGCAATTTAGACGCGTATGCCACAGGCTTCCACGTGCCATTTTCACGCTGTAGGAAGGCAACACCTACTCTGTTTTGTGACGCATCACATGAAACTTTGGTTTCCTTTTTTGGATCGAAAAGTGATAGCGGGGGCTGGCGACACATGTTATCACGTAGAATCTGCCATTCTTTAGCGTGGTCATTAGTCCATTGAAAATGTGTGTTGTGCTTTAATAAGCTCCGGAGCAGTACCGTTTTCTGAGCCAAGGATGGCAAGAACTTGCTGAAGTAGTTTGCGACAACCAGCATCTTTTGAACCGCATGCTTGTCCTTTAGTTCTAGCGTTTGAGTCATGCATTTCACCTGATAAGGATTGGGTCTGATGCCCTCATGACTAATTACGTCACCTAGGAATTCTATTTCTTTTACACGCACCGCTCACTTATTCGCATTAAAAGTTAGTCCAGCTCGCTCTGCTGCTTGCAAGGCAAACTTAAGTCGTTGATCATGCTCCTTCATTGAAGAGCCCCAAATTATCACTTCGTCAACGTATGCCTTCACCCCTGGCAGATTCTCAAACACTTCATTCAAAGCTTTTTGGAACACCTCTGGAGCTGAAAAAATGCCGAACGGTAGCCTCGTGAAGCGGTATCGACCAAAAGGCGTTGCAAACGTGCGAATTTTTGAAGTTTCTCGATCCAATGGTATCTGGTGGAAACCAGCATTAGAATCGAGCCGGGTGAACACTTTTGCGCCGGCTAGTTCTGCTTCTATGTCCTCTCGCGTCGGCATTTGATAGTGCTCCCTTTTTATGCATTGGTTAATCTTCCTCTGATCCATGCACACTCGAAGCTTGCCATCCTTTTTACGTGCTATCACGAGAGGACTCACCCAATCCGTAGGCTCTGTCACCCTTCCAATGATACCGCCTCGTTCCATACGCTCCAGTTCTTCACGCAGTGGTTCTCGCAAGGCTAGTGGAATCCGCCGTGCTGGTTGGACCACCGGAACTGCGTCGTGGCGGAGTACCATGTGGTAATGGCGCTTGACGCATCCCGTGCCACTGAGCAGGTGCCAAAAATCCACCGCTACGCCTTCCGCTGTGCTTTTTTCCACGCTGTGCACTGGGCGTGAAACCAGCTGAAGGCATTCACATGCTTGCAGTCCCAAGATTGCTTGATCTTTACGCACGACGAAAAATTGAAGGACTGCGGTGTGTCCGTTCAGTGTCACATCGGCTGTTATGCTGCCGCAGTGTTTGATTTCATTGCCGCCGTACGAGCGTAGAACTGAGCAGCTGGACTTTAACAGTGGTTTTGGCTGCATCTTGGTGACGAAACTCAAGGTAATGATGTTTGCTTGCGAGCCAGTATCGAATTTAAAGCTCACTGATACGTGAGCAACGTTCGCACGAACAAACCAGTCGCAGCCGCTGACCTTCCTTCTCAAGGATACATTCAGCACATCAAAGCATTCTTCATCGCCAGTGAGCTCGTTGACTTCACTCCCTACTTTTCAACAAATTGCGAAGTGGTTCTCCCACTGGCAGTTGTAACAAGCACGCCCGAACGCAGGACACTTTCTTGGAGCGTGTGTTTGCGCGCATCTGGGACATATGTAGTCTGGTGGCTTCCTGGCGTTGCTGTTTCCTTGTCTCGCTTCTTGGTGCTGCCTTCCTGGCGCTGGGAAGTTCCGAATTGGATCCACTTGATGGTCCCGTAGCCACGTTTCTTGCTGGGCTGCTGTTGCTTCTGCTGCCTTGCAAGTCTGTTCCGCTTTCTGTAGCGTGAGATTTGGGCTCCTTAGCAGCTTCTCTCTCAGTTTCTCGTTTTGTATTCTAAAAACAATCTGATCGCAGATCATGGAGTCACGCAAGTTTTCAAAGTTACACAGACGAGCTTGTGTCTTCACGTCTCGCACGAAGTGCTCAAAAGGTTCCCCTGGCTCTTGCATTCGTTTTCCGAACAAGTGGCGTTCATATGTCTCATTGCTCTGGCTCTCACAGTACTCGTCATACTTTTTGACTACCGTAGCGTAATCGGTGTGGCTTTCGCCTTTCTAAAAAACGAAGGTATTAAATACCTCTACGGCTTCTTCGCCTGCAGTTGTCAGCAGCAACGCAGTCTTCGTCTGCTCTGGTCGGGATTGTCCGGAAGGTTCTGTAGCCGTCAAGAAGAGCTCAAATTTCTGCTTGAACAGCGGCCAGCTTTTGCCTATGTCTCCTGTGAAGCGCACTGCATCTGGCGGTCGAACAAATTCCATCCCGACTGCTCAGCACGCCGTGGGCGCCTACGTGTGCGTCGATCAAATTCCATCCCAACTGCTCAGCGCGCCATGCGCCCCTACGTGTGCGGCGATGAGTGCGCGGCACTTCTGACACCATATATTGATGACATGATACGCCTGGTAGCCGGTGGGGAAAAGATCCCGGGTTATTGAACGTCAGCTGGTTATATGCGCTGAATGCGTGCGTATCAGGTACATCTCTACACAGTTCATGTGCATATCTTGTGCCACGTGTACGATACACACTGTATGTATCATGCTTTATTGGTGCTAACTCGTATATGGTGTTCACTTCTGCACTGCACTTCAACGAGTTAGTGTCAAAAAGCTCGTTTCACAGGTGTTTTGGCTTCGGTGTTTGTTTGGACGTGGGCCTCCCTAGTTAGGAGCGAAAATTTATCAACTAGTGCTGAACCGCTAAAAATCAGAAAAAATCAAATAAATTAAATAATAAAAATTCCCGCCTACGAGTGGGAATCAAATCTAGGCTTTTTACCTCGCAAGGAGGTGCTCTACCAGACAGCCACCCACGCGTCTGCTATGAAGAACTGTTAAAACAACTTGCTTTGCATGAAAATGCAGTGAAAGTAACTTATATGCTTTATGAACACACGCGTCCTGAATAGAGCCTTCACAATACAATGTGTGAAATCGCAGTAATGTTCACTTGTAGAAGCCTAC